AGACGGTAAAAGAATTTGTTTATTTAAAATGTTCAAGCATCTACCATTGAGGGAGTAAAATCCTTGGTTTATTTACAATTTTTTTTATTTATTACTTTAGTTCAACTATTCTTCTATTAAAAGCCTATAGCTTTGTATGGAGGAAATCTGAAAAGTCCTGTATACTAATGCCCTTTCAGAAATATCTATTGTATGTTTGTAGCGGTGAAGACACGTGTTGTTTCATTTACTCATGTCGAACCTAATTTCTCCTCTCTTTCTCTCATTGAACCTTCTCAATTAAATTCCTTGATCTTCTTTTCTTTTTTTATTCCTCCCTTTCTCATGTACATTTAGGGACTGTGTTCGTCATTATCAAATATCAACCTTCCTTTCACAAGGAAAGATATGATATGGACCTTTGTGCATGTCTACTCTAATAAATGATTTTGCTCTGTTAATAAATGATTGGGCTTTTAAATCTACCAAATTGAACTTTTTTCCCTCAACATTTTGCAGGCTGAATACAGATCCAACAAATGTATTACCTGTTTTTTCTTGGAAGCAACATTTAAATATAAACATCATCAACAATGAAGATGTGAAACTAAAATTTGCTTACTCTTTTTTGGTGTTTATGAAGGAGAAAGAACTCAACTTTACATACAGCAACATGCAATTTTTTTCCCAAGGTAGCTACTTTGTTTTGTTTCTTAATTCTTAAAGTTATGGTTTGACACTTGATATATTTGAATATATCAAAGATCTGATCTCTTTTCTGAATTATGAAATTTAAAGATTATATTTATGTAGATCTCAAAACTGAGTTTTAAACTGTCAAAGCATTCTTAATCCTTTCATTTTCATCTTACTGTTAGATAAAATGGACAGTAGAGGTCTAGCCATAATTGAATATCCTTGAATGATGTTAATTTTTTTGTTAAAAAAAGAAAGGAAAAATATTATACCAATTATAGAATGTTGAAGGAAGTATAGAATAGAGTTTAACTTAAGAAGCCTGCAATTTTGCAAATTGTAATAGACCCCTGTTGGAAGGATTCTCATGATCCTCTATTTATTTAAGTTTGGTACTGAACTGGCACTCATAGGAAGGAAACACTTATTCAGATTTCTCTTCTTCTTTTTTAAAGTACTTTGGGACTGAACAGGCACTCATAGGAAGGCAACAGTATATGAATTAACTATCTCTTACATTATACTTCTGAGGATCTTTATAAATATTCCTTGAATGATTAAAATTGTTGGAATATGAATGTATATGTTATCTTATCCTTCCTATCATTATTTTATATTTCTCATAAATCATAAAAACAAATTTATAATTGTGTTTCAAATTTCAATATAAATAGCCATTAAATGAATGATTACTGACTTTTACAAGACATGATCTCAATAAATGCATATGATGAAAATTTTACATTTCCTTGGTTGGTGTTACTTTTTTTTCAATCTATTGAACAAATTTGTATTTATGTTATTGTTTCTTAGAAAGACAGGTTGGTTCCTACGCAAATAAGGTATTCACAATGAATGATGACTAAGATATGCATGTAATGTTTTTGAAGTTGCAAAATTTCCTATAGATTTTTGGGGTAGTTTATGGAATTGTGATTTTGTAAATTTAGGGGGAAGCAAGGGAGTATGGTAAGGTCTTAACTCGGAACATATTATATATGATGTTAAAAGGCTCATTGGAAGTAAGTTTGTAATCAGTTAAGAAGTATTTTTGTGTGAAATTACCATAATAGTATTGTGGTGCTTATGTTTCTTCAGATCTTTGGTATCCTAATTTGAATTGTTAGTGTTGTTTGGCAGCTTTGATGTTACAAAAGTTCAAAAGATTATTAAGATATGAGCAAAGATGACATGTAGAAGTGGAGATTAAAAATGGCTACTTCAAATTGTTTAGCAAGAATTGAGCATGTTGTCGTCCCTGTTTCAAGTATAATTTATTCATAACATGGGTTTTCACATTACTACTACAACAATGATACTAAACCTATTTGTTCATGAAAAAATTATCTTTTTTTATTCTTCTGTAATGTACAGACTATATATATATATATATATATTGGTTTTTCACACACACACACACACACATATATCAACTTCTTCATTGGAATGACATGATAGGACTTTCTTAGTCATATAAAACGCAGGTCTTTTAACGTGTCGCACCAACTTTCCTGAACATTATGTATTCAAGCTTTCTGGGCATAATTTACTGATGACTCAAACACTTGGACCCTAAAGTGGTATGTGTCTTGCTCTTCTCTTCGATGAACTACTTGATTACTTTTAATCTTTAGGTGTGCTAGAGGAGTGAGTCCTTTTTCGTGAGGCTGATCTTTTCATTCATTCAGTGTTCACCTATGTTGTTCGGTCTCTTCAAAAATGTCAATGGGTGCATGTCGGATTCTCCAAAAGTGGTGTATATTTAGAGAATCCGACACGGGTGCGACATCAAAAGTGAAGTGTCTGTGCAGCTTAGATTTCTACAAAGCTATCAGAATAGGGTAGATAAACGATTTCAATTTTAAAACGCCTTCAGCTTCAGAACTCCTATCAATCTATAACATGATATTTTTTTGCTTTCTGGTACTATGGAGATAGGCGACACTCTTTTGCTATGCCCAATGCGTTATTTTCTTATGTCGTTGAAATCTTTTCTTCTTTCTAATTCTTTTTTGTACTGAAAACAGGTGCAACTTGAATCATTTCACTTTGTCTCCGCGAGTATGAAAATGAGAGTATTCACATGGTGTTCACTTTGTGACTTCACAACGCTCATCAAATTTACTTTTCCAAATTGGTAAAGAGAGAGGTACATGCTAATGGATGTAAAATTAGCTGGCGAGCCTAACCAACAGTTCAAGACATGTTGCAATGGTTCGTAAATCATTTCAAGTAAGTTGCTCTTAATGTGATTATCCTCTGCACCGTCTTAAATAGGTTCTGAATGTATAATTATGTTATTGCACCATGCATTTGGTGTTAGTACTTAGCACATTTACTTTTTACACATTTTTCACGTCTTTCATAAATCCTTACATGATTTTGTGTGTTCAAAATCAACTCACAAATAATAGTACAGGACTTCTGCGCTAGCATAAAGAAAAAGTTAGAAAGGAGCTATTACCCAATGAAAGGAGTAAAGGAGTTGGCGGGGGGGGGGGGAGCTTACAGAGACAGCAAAGCAATTATATTGTAGATAAATTAAAATTTCAGTGGAAAGAATATAACTATTTCTGCTCAATGTATGAACAGGTTGTATTGTCATAAATGCATGTTGAACTGAAAGTGTAGGCAATTTTCTATCTCAATATATGATGTACTGCCATGTTGCATCGATGTGGCTCTACATCTGCGGAAAAAAATCTCATTTTTTGAGATCAAATCTGAAATCAATGATTGTTAGGTAATGTTACTTACTCTTTCTTTATTTTCTGGATAAACAACTTAAATCTTATTATAATGTAATAACTTCACTAGAGTTTTTTTTTGGTTATCAAAACACTTCACTAGAGTTTTTGCTTTTAAAAGACATGTGGTAGTGTGTGCTTATATTTGGTAATTCACTAGATTTTCCATTTGTGCATTTTTCTGACATTTGCAACTTGATTTGATCTTCTCTTTTTGCAGATTTTACTTGAATCATTGTTGGCATAAGAATGAGTTAGATTTTGCTCTCCGAACTGTGGATAATATAGGTTGTAATAGGCAACTCAATTGCAATTCTCTTTCTACTTCTTTTCACGTAAACAAATTCTACGTTTCATTCAATTATGTAAACAAGCACAAGATTATTTTTGCTAATGTTAACTTTAACCAAGAAGGTCGGCATCGTGTTTAGTTTGCTTATACTATTGTATTGTTGCAATGACAAAAGGAAATCGAAACCATGCATGTTGGGCCCGTGCTAGCACGGGCCATACCCCTCTAGTATATATATATGTGTGTGTGTGTTTAATTAATAAAATCAACTCCAATTTGATCGACCTACAACCCTTTCGGAAGTGCTATTTGATTAAAACATATTTTCAAAACATATTTCGGGTTTAAAATTGTAATCGGTTTTTGGCTAAAAATTATATATTTTAGTATGCAATAATTTATAAAAATTAATATTAAATTATTATATTTATCGATAGTTAAACTCGAAATAATTACTTTACTTATTTATTTAAATGTTTTTAAAATTTAGGTGTGTTTAATTATATGAAAATTCTTTAATATGTGTAATATTTTATTAATTGAATAACATCTCCTTAATCTTCTCTTAAATCATTTTAACTCTTAGCCTAATATATTCGATTGTATTTCAATTCTAGTCCTTTTCTTATTCAATATGTTTCAATTCTAGCTACTTCAATTCAAATTCTTTATTTCAATTATAGCCACTTGTTGATTTCAAATTTAGCCTATTCTTGTCTCAATTTTTTTCAAGACTCTAATTTCCATTTTAATCTCAACCATCTATCAAAATTCGAGATCAAATCCTAGTCGTCCATCTTCATCTAATCAATGGTCAGATTGAATCTTCCCCACTTTCCTATTTTTCAATCTAAAAGACCCAAACTCTTAAATATTGTTCATTCTTTTCCTCCTCTCAAAGAAGAGCAGCCACAACGAGGCCTCTCTCGTCTCCAATAGCTCTGGCGAGTCGCGCGAAGCGGTAGGCTTCGAGCAGTCGCCGCCTCCTCCGTTCCCCTCTCCTCTCCCCTTTCTGACTAACGAACCCGACTCAGCGGCACCCCTCTCTCACTCCCGATCCATTCCCGACCGGCGTTGCAACAACAGGTCGCGCCACCATCCCGACCGGTGCGCCGCCTCGATCAGCAGCAATAACAACAGGTCACAGCAGCATCGCATATGCGGCAGCAGCAACAAACTCCGACAACAGCTATACACAGAGGGAGTATACATCAAAACTCACTGCGGCAGTGACAGATTAAGAGGGTAAATTTATCTTACTTGATTAATTTTAATTCATTCTTCTCCAATCTATTCATGTGGGTCTTTATATCTGCCTATTTATATTTATATTTGTTGTGAAAATATAGACTGGTCAACGGACAAAGATTGACTTTTGGTGGCTACTCTATACATACAATACCGTAAAGCCAAAAATACTCACTGAAACGCGGCTTTATTTTTGAAAAGTATGTATTCTAATATGACTAATGTTAAAGTTTGAATTCCAAAAAGATATCTATTCATGTGGGTGTTCTTTCTTTTTCTATGTTGATGCTTGTTTTCAAATTGGCTCGCATTTAGGAAATAGGCAGTTGACGAATCTCGATGCTGCTGTGTATTTGTGCCATGTAGTAACTATAATTATTGAATCTTTTTCTAGTGTTGAAAGGGTTGATTTTGCGGGCTAGGCAACCGAGGAAGCTCAACATAAAAAAAAGTTGATACAAGCTTCTTTCATCAAAGTAGGAGATAAGGTTTGGTGTTTCTAAATTTCTAAAGTTGAAGTACAATTTCTTTTTATAATGTGTTTGTGTCCATCTAGTATTGATACTTAAGTTTAAATTTTGTGATAATGTGTAATTAGAACTTATAATTAATTATAACTTGAATTTTCTATAAATTGATCTTAATTAGGAATATGAACTTGAAATGTAGTTGACTTTAATTTATTATTAGAACTTAGTTTTTATTCTTATTAGAACTTGGATTTTAGTT